TTTACATGAAAGAATATAAAGATTTGTTTTTATTATTTCATAGTTGCTTTCCAAGGCAAAAATAGTTCCATTCACACGTGACAATATACCCAGCATATACAATCTGCAGAGGCTAAAAGACATACACAGATTTTGCTCTAAAAGAAATTATATATGCATATATTTAACTTTTGTCAGAGGGCTACCAGTCTTATATATGTTTTTATAGATGATCAAGACTGTATTTTTGAAAATTACCTTCAGGGACCAATGATACAGGACAATATATTTTGTCACGTACACCTGCTCCTATGGGTGCTTTGCCAATAGTTAGTCTCCTACTGTGTCATTATCTGCTTGGGATATTTTTTCAGTGGATTATGGTCACCTGAAGCCTCTTCACCTTCAATTCAAGGTGGCTCACGCTTTGAAGAATCATAAACAGTAGGTCCAAAATGCATATTAAAGCTCGCTGATTCTCTCAACCTTCCATGTTTAATTGCAACCAGCAAGCTACAACACAAGGCAGGAAGTGCCTTCAGCTGGGATCACTGCACTGCCAAAAATCACTCTAAGTACCTTCTGTTCCTTATCACCACAAACGATCTTTACAAGATCAAAACCAAGCTTTTGGTATTAAACAATGACTCTGTTAGAACTGTCAACTGAAAGCATATAAATACTTTATTTGACTATTCTTCTGTGCTTTCTGCTGTATCTCTAAACACAATGCCCTTTTCACTATTATGGGCAAAATTGCTGGAAGCAGCAATTTGACTCAGGGCTAGACAACAAAATTTAAGCATACGCTATGGTGGGGAAAAGTGAAACATTTCCAAGGAGTTCTTTAAGCAAGACAGCCTTCATTCCCCTTCACCCCTGCTATCTTCTTCCTTACTGGAACACTGAGACAGTAGTTGGTGATCAAATAGCCACTTTATAACCACATAAGCAAAGCTACAACCAAAGACCAAAGATCATAGCAAGGTAGAAAGATAGAAAATGCTCTCAGATCATCTTTATTCTGAATTCTCCTATACTTTTCCTATTTGACAGAGATATTTACTTAGTCCTAATCAAATTGAGATCAGTACTGGCATCATCTGAAAATGTATTAGAAATGAAGAATCTTAGACCCCAACACAGACTAAGTCAATCATAACTTGAACGTCAATTAGATTCCCAGGTGATTTGTAATACTGTTGTTGTGTACTGTTGAGTCAGCATTAACCCATAGTTGACCCTGTGGCAGGTTTTCAGAGGCAGTTGATCCTACAGGAGGAGACTGTCCATCCTTCTCCCACAGAGCAGCTGGTGGATCTGAACTGAGTGCCTTTGGGATTGCAGGGCGGCTTCTTGCCACTAGACTACCAGAGCTCGTAATACTAACTTAAATAAATACCAGGAGAATCAGAGAGCTCATCTTCCCTTAAATAGACTACTTGCAATAAAATGGCCATATGCCTAACTGGTGATTTATAAATTTATAAAAGAAACTAAACTGGAAAAGCAACATGTTACAAACTAAGATTTAGGAGTGGCCCACCTATCAAATCTTTGATATTGCATAAATCATACACTTTGCACATCTCAATATTCTTGCAGATAAAGTGTTCAGATTTGTAAGCATCAAACAAGATAATATGGCAAAATTATTAGGAAGGTATAAAGATGTAAATTATTATTTCTTAACAAAAACCTAATTTTCATAAACCCTCTCTCCTCTTTGAAACTATAATTAATAGTTAAACTCTACAAACTTCTTGTCAATTCCTTTCATAAACCACTAGAATTGTGGGCTAGGAATTTATTTATTCCCACTTCAAGTGCAAAATAAAGCTATGCATGTAAACATTCAGGAGGTTAAAAAATTTTATCAGAAAGGCAGCCTCAGAAGAGAGTCAACAAAGGCAAAGAGAAAGATGTGAAACCACTGAATAAATTAAGACCTATGAGATCAAGCACAACAATTCTCTCCGGAATGAAACTGCATTTATAATCTAATCTAAAAAAGAAAAAAAACCTGAAGTGACCAGAAAGTCACCCCATATGTGAAAATGCAGACATATGGGCATAAATGACAAGGTTATTATATTTGATTAGTTCACATGGTTTGCAAGAACCTTTAAAAAGAAAAGTATATTATAAGGAATTATAGAGATGACCCTTGAAAGTATAGTCTTGTGAAAGTATACTATAAGGATGACACTCTACCTCACGAAAAATAATAACATAACAGAGGATTCGTTGAAAACACACAACCTCATCATCCTAAACTACCCTTGCTGACTATTAGTGCTTTGTGAGAGCCGAAATTATTTTCAAAGATGCACCTAACAAATTATATTAGTCTCATATATTTTACCCATTGCAACCTCTTCAACATCAGCTCCTTTGCAGACACTTAAAAGAAATGACTTCAAAAGATGTCAAGTATTAAACAAACATGACTGTTTTAATTACCTAAAAGTGGTCAATCAGCCATGTGTTGAAATACTTCAACTCAATTTAATGCATAAAAATAAGTAATCAAAATGTTATAAGGGACATTATAAATTTAAAGTGTCATATAAATGCTCTATAATCAGGGTGATCATCATCATAAAAATAATTTAAGAGCCTCAAAGTGACCATACTGAATCTCTATCTTTTTATCCCCAGGACTGAGAAAAGAAAACACTACACACATAAAACTGTGACTAATGAGAAATAAGTGCTATTAAGCTGTCACATTAAAAGGTAACAGCTCAGTAAGGGAGAAAAAAAAAAGAAAGAAAAAAAAAATCAAAGCCAGACTAAGGAGACTGACTAGAATTTCCTTTTATTTGTGGGTATTATGTACATTTTTTAAAGTGGTGAGAGAGCTGCACCACTTCACGCAACATATCTAGGTAGATGATACTCAACAGATTGTTTAAAAACACTTCTAAAAAATGTGTAAGGTTTAAAACACTGAACAAGCTCTTTTCCAGGCTGTTTCCTATGCTAATTAATTTTCATTATTACAGGATGACACCATTCTGGGGGGGAAAGAAAAGAGCTGACACAAGCCAATTTACATTTTTTTGTAATAAAACCAAAAATTTATATCCCAAGGAAGACCAGCAAAAGGAGGCACGACTGTCAGAAATGTTAAATATGCATAGAATGTTGCTCATTATTCTTTTTAAGAATGGGAGGTTGTGAGGTCTGGCAAATAAAGTAACAGACAAGATGTCAAAAGTATTGAAATTGAAACCCAGGCATATCTTAATGGCTCAGCTAGTTTCTTCACCTATAAAATTCAGAATACTCTTACTGCTGTGTTAGGTAATTAACAGCTGTAAAGCACTCTGAAAGTACAAACTGCTAAATAAATAATGACTGTCAGAGAGTTCTAACCATAATGTGCTAAATAATAATGATGAAACCTGGGCTTTAACTTTATTATTTTCAAGTCAATAACAAAAGACTCTCATCTCAGAATACGGCACAGCAACATGATAGGGAGTAAGTTAAATTTAATGCTTAGGCATTTGAGAAGAGATTTTGTTTTCAGGGAAAGTTAGATCAACTTTATTCTCTATAATGTCACTAAAGTCATGTCCCAGCTCTTCTCTTCATTTTGGTTCATTCAAATGAGAATTCACTGTTTGTAAAAATCCCCTAAGTACTCAACTTTTTTTGATTCTTTCCATTTATTTTTAGTTAACTTTGAAACTTTAAGTCACAGTAACATTTCAAACTATTTCCTGAGAATCAAGAAGCACAAATTCTATTCCGTAAAATTACAGTTTGTTACTTTTTCCAATCCCTTGGAGTTCAATATTTATGAGACACACACCTATCGGGAAACTTTTTAAAATTTACTTACTGAGGAAATAAGGATGGACGAGTTATAATCAACAATATTATGTCCTTTCAAACTCTTTATACTAATAATTGCATAACTACACAATGAGCTTTAAACTATGGCCTCAGATAGCTAACGTTATTTCTTTATTCATGTCTAGTCTTTTCTGTCATTTTTTCATATACATCTAAAATTACTATTCAAAGTTATAAAATAGTTTAAAAGAAATAGCTATAAGAAGATATTTAAAACCAATAGTTATAGGAAGATGGAAAAAACCTTAGAGTCAAGTAATTGTCAATATTTCTTGTTTAAAAGTTAATATTTAGAAAATAGGATTGTCTACCTAAAGGCAAAAGCTGATCAAAGTTCTGCTGACAAAACCACACTGTTCTGTGAATTACTTGTAAACATAAAAATAAACTGTAATCATACAAGAATAATTTAGACATGATTGAAAACAAATTTAAATCTTGTTTATTATATATTTTGGGGAAAGCTACTTTTGAGGTGTTATTTTGTGAAAATCATATAAGAGAATAAACTCACATTAAAATATAAACTTTTTTCACCCCTATGTTACCCAGACCTTAAATATTTATCCAAGAGAATACTACGAAATACAGTTGTCAATGAAGAATGAACTCAGTTCCTAATCATGCCTTTAAGTCAAACTTGTAGATACATACATCAGAACAGGTGCAAATAGTACTTCTTCACAGATTTTTAGAGAGAGAACAGGCTCCAAGCCTTTCCAGTGACTTAAAATCTCCATGTGCAGCTGGTGAAAGTGACTGTGTTATGAGTAGGAGTTCAAAGTGTTCCAAAGTGAGAGAAAATTGCAAGATATTAAAAAGCAAGTTGGAGCTGTTGGTAAATCTGTCTTCTGGTCATTCGTAAAACAGACAGCTTATAATTTGATGGTGAAATTAGCATTTCCAAACATAGATGTTAAAAGACAACACAGTGTTCCAATTATAATTCTCTCACAAGCATATCATTTCATGAAATTATTAGTTAAGATAATGGCCTCTAAATGAATTTGTATTGATAGTTTCACTTATTTAAGGACACTGAACCATTTAAGCTCCATCTAATAAAAAAAAACCAAACCAAAGAGGGCACGAGTGGGAAGTGCTGGGTTCTTACACACTCTGCTATTTGCTTCAGAATTCTGCCAAGTGCATACCTTCCAGGTGAAGCCACATAAGCCTGCCCTTCACGCTGACAACCGAGGCCACACAGAGTTCTCCTGGATTCCTGGGATTCACAGCTTCAAGTTTCATGTTCTTTGTGAAACCCCGACTGAATGACGTCTAAAAAAGAAACGGACCTAATATTGAGCCAACAAACATCACAATACGGTGTTTTGCAGCCATAGGGCTGACCGGATAAAAATACAGAAATACACATATATGCATGCACACATATATATAATAAGATAGTCTTGTTTATAAGTTTGAAAACCTCATTTTTCACTCCTAATCTATTCACCAAGAGATTAAACAAAGAAACAAACCACATCAATGGTTGTTGTCAGGTGTCACTGGGTCAACGGTGATTCATAGTAATGCAGTGAAGAACAGCAGAGTTTGCCCTGTCACACACCATCCTCACAATCTATGCCACGCTCAAGCCCACTGCTGTAGTCCCTGTGTCAATCTCTATTTGAGACTGACTGGCCATCCACTTCTGAAATACCAGGACGTCATAATGCCAGTCAATAATGGTGTACTGTAGGTGCCTAATGGTACTTGCCCAAAATGTGCATACTTGGGTGAATGAACAGTTGGGTGAATCCAAAGTCTCTCTTAAAGCAGGACCTTACTTCTACAAAACCACTGATGAACAAATCCTTTCTTCTACTTTCCCATATTCTTCACTGGCCTCATATCTGGCCATATTTGAGGGTTTTAAAGCAGGTAAATTCCCATTTCCATCTGTCATCATTGCCTTTCTATCTGGAAAATGTTCTCAGCACTTCTTACAGTGTGAGTCTGCTGGTGATAAATGATCTTGGCTTTCTTTTACCTGAAACTGTTTCCCTTTGACCGTTTTCCTGGCTTTTATTTGCTTTTAAAAAGTTTACATATAGTAAAGTTCATTCTTTTTAGGACCTTATTCTATGAGGCTAGGACCATTAAATAAATGCTGAAGCACACAGTTGTGTAGCCATAAGCACAATCAAGATACAAAACTGATTCTTCACCCTTAAGAATAAAATTGCAATACTCTCTGCCAAACCAGCCCTTCTCTGAATCCGAATGCCTGCCAACCACTGGTCTTTTTTTCTTTTCTGATGATTCTGTTCTCCCTACTACATCATACAAAAGGAATCATGTAATAGAAACACTGAATCTGCCTTCTTTTGCTGAACTCAATGATTTTAAATTCATCCATGCTAATGCATGCCTCTGTACTTTGATTCATTTTATTGCCAAGTAGTATTCTCGTATGTACATGGACCATGGTTTGCCTATCCACTTACCACTTACACATTTGAGTGGTTTCTCCATAAACATTAAAGTATAAATTTTTGCATGCATGTAAGTTTTCATTTCTCTAGATAAAGGGTTGTTGGATATGGTAAGTGCATATTTACCTTTAGAGAAAGCTAAATTGTTCTCCAAGGTGGTAATAAAAATTTTCTCAAGAGAAATGTATGAAAAGTTACAGATGTTAGGCATTCTCTCCAATACTTGGTACTGTAAACATATTTTTCTTTTAGTGACTGTAACATGTGTGTTATCGTATCTTGTTGTGGTTTTAATTTGCATTTCATCTAACATATCACGATGTTGTGGCTATATACCACAGAGTTGCAACCGACCCATAACTGGCCATCTGGTGAGTTTTCAGAGGCAGTTAATCAAATGAGCGAGGGGTCTACCCTTCTCCTGCAGACTGACTGGTGCCCTCAAACCATGTGCCTTCAGGATTGCAGTGCAGCTTCTTGCCACTAGGCCACATTTCAAGATTTTTCTATTAATGTTTTGTTTTCAATAATTTTACTATATTGATTTTCTCTATTTATGTTTCTTGGGATTGAGATTCCTAAGTTTTGGACTCTCAGATACTTTGGATAATTATGGTGATTAACTTTCCATATTTTTTCTGCCACAGTCTCTCTTGTTAATTCTGAGTCTCAAATCAACAATATTTTTCCTCGGATCCCTGAGGCCCTGTTTATCATCTTTCCTTGACCACTATTTTTCTTATTCTTTAGTTTGAATAATTTGTAAAGTCATTGACTCTTTACTATGATCTTTATTGTACTGTAAAACATCCAGTGAATTTTATATCAGATGCTTTTTCATATCTAGAAGTTATCTATTTTAGTTGTCACTTGTCTCTTTGAATTTTTTAAAATGTAATAAAAAATGCATTGTTAAGTATACACAATTCCTTTTAATAAATTATACTGAGATAATTTACAATAATATACAAACATAACTATTTTAAAATATACAAATACAGACAAACATATTTCTCTAACAGAGAATCCCTAGTAGTGCAGTGGTTTAAGGGCTCAACTGCTGCTAGAAAGGACAGCAGATCGAGCCCACTGATCATCACACAGGAGGAAGATGTGGCTGGCTGCTCCTGTAAACAACTACGGCCATAGAGACCCTTTGGGAAAGGCGATTCCTACCTTGTTCTAAAGGGTCATCATGAGTTTGAATTCACTCAGTGATGGTGGGTTAATATGTAATAAGTAAATGAGACTATGTCTTTATGTTATTTACAGAAAGCAACATAACACAATAGATATTTACTTTTATCTTTTTCTGTAAGTTAAAATTTGCTAATAAGGCTTTACATAAGTAGCACTATGCTAGATTTGTTAAGAAATGAATTTTATCCTTTCAATAGGAATCAAGATGTACAAGTGGGCTGTTTTTCTGCAAGTCATCCTGCCTCATCCACACATTTTATGTATTGAGCTTCCTCTGACAATACAGTTCGATAAGCTGCTTGAAAAACCTCTAAGTGAGTTAAAGTGCATCTTATTCTACTTAATAAGGGAAAGCTACAACCACATAACCTATTTTCGTTTCAGCTCACTGCTTGAGGGTAATTTATAAAGGATCAATAGCAAAACTGTTACCTGTGAGTTTATTTTACTAAGCATTTGGCTATGTCAATCTATTTCATAACTGCCTTGGATTGTTAAACATCCCTGGGGAAATGTCTTCCATGCATCCATTACCACACTTGCTCTCTCTGGCTACACAGTAGATGTGTGATTAAAAATTGAATTCCTAATAAGCATTCCATTAAAGAACACTGCTAGCAAGCTAACAAATTCTGAAAAGTATCAGTAATGCAATGCATATGCCAATGGGCAGATAACAATCATGTCTATTAAATAAATGGAGAGCCAGAAACAAAAGGGGGCATATGCGAAACAAATGCATTCCTAATGAATACACCAGCAAATTCATTAAGGCAAATTTAATCCTGATAGCTAAATCCTTAAAGCTCTGAGGCTACCTGGGGATGTGGCCACTTGCTCCACTATTAAAATCCATCTGGACAACTGCAAGATGAATGGGAGCCAAGGAATGGATAAATGCCTTCCTCAAAGGATGATTACCACAGAAGCAGCAGCCAGCTCTCTAAAGACCTATCCAGGGGGAAACAGGAGAGGTTTCCCACCAAAGCTAGAGTGTTAGGGAAGGAATTGAACTCTTGGTATGTAGTCCAACCTCAAAGAGGTTCAGAGATATGACAGTGTTTCCATGGTTCTAATTCAAAGTCACTGAGGCTACTAGCACAGTCTGTAATAGGAAAGCCTAGCATGGTAACAAAATATCAAGTAAGAACTCAATGGAATTAATAAGCCTTTGAAGCTGACCAGCTGCTATCTTTATGATAGTACAGTAAAGTAACATAACTGTCCTCACATATCTCTTAAAACACTGCTAAGAGTCCTTCAACACTACTAAGAAATTACACTTGTAGTGGGATAGTGTCATAAATGGAGAGATCATTCATTCACAGAACCATGAGTTCTAGTTCTGTCACTTACTCATTTCTATGTTTATATGCTTTTGTTGTTGTTGTGTGCCTTCTTCACTGACCTCCAGTGAGTTTTCAGAGGCAGTAAACTGCATGAGATGAGATTTACCATCTTTCTCCTGTGGATCACTTGGGGTTGCTGTGCCACTAGTGTGTCAAATGCTGTAATGGTCACCATGGTGGACAGTGTTTGGTGGAGCTCCCAAATTAAGACAGGCTTAGAATCAGGAGTGGCAACCACTGCCTAAACAACATGCCTCTGGAAATTCTATGAAATTAAAGAAACTACCATAGTTACAGAACAGGGTTTAGGTCTTTTTTCATAGGATCACTGTGAGTCATGCTCTACTTGATTGCACTAAACAACAACAACATACTTTGTAGCAATGAAGATAAAAATAATAATAATATAATAAAGTATAATAATAATATAATAAAGTATATTATCAATCACTGTGTAGCTGTGCAAACACGTGTGTATAAATACATTCACATAAATTCATTTTAGGAATCACAAAAATCCTATTACTATACTAATATTCTATACTTAAACAAGGAATAAATTTAAAACAAGCGTTACATATAGTTGTTAGGCTAGCAACTTATAAAGAATTTAAAAGAAAAAATTTAAGATAATATTTTTAAAACATAACTCAGAAGGAGACATTCTTTTCAATGGGCTTGATCTCGCAGACAGCTAGCTTGTCACCAATATTTATCCTCCTTCTTTCATAGTGCAGAACAGAGTCTGGGAGACACGTGCCCAGCCAGAAAACATTTCCTAGCCTCATTTAACCTTAGCGCAAGGCCACATGACTGGTCCTAACCAGTGGATGGTGTCACTAGGACACTATAGTTTTTACAAGTATGATTATCTTCCCCTTCATCTCTAATCCTACCTGCTCACTAAATTCAAACATCTGGCACAGAATGAAGAACTGTCAAATCAGGAATTTCCAAGACCCAAGCATAAGGAAGAAATAAACTTTAGGTTTAAGCCACAATATATTAATTAGTTGATTTGCTACTGCAGCCTAGCATAATGCTACTGAAAATATAAACTGAGAGGACTCTTCAAAATCTGTGGAAGTTTATAATCCTTCAGCACAATGCAGTTCTCTAATCCCATTCAATTCACAAAACCTATGAAGAATCTCCATATTCATTATTTTTTTTTAATAACAAAAAAGCATCTTACATTTCTGAAGCAGAAGGGAGGTGCTGCTTCTGCCCCATCCTGTTTGTGATAATCTGCCCAGTCAAAGTCCTGGCCTGAGTAACCTGTGTACAAGAAAACAGAGGCAAAACAGCATTATCCTCAATCTGGCAAATGAACAGTTGGAATGTGTCAGTAATTAACAACAAGAAATGATGTTAAGAGTAGGATGAAGCCCTTTTAACTCGTATCAACACTTTAAAGTTCATGAGGGTCAAATGAAATATTTTGAAAACTATAAAGTACGATATACATGTAAAGGATAGCATTATTATCTTTATGTGGTGGATGATACTCCTGCTTCCAACAACAAAGTATGATATACATACAAAGGACAGCATTATTATCATAATGTGGCACCAGGATATAGGTGAAAACGGTGGAAGCTACAGGAGCTACAGGCAATGGGTAGATTTCCTAGAGGGAAAACATCTGAGAACAACTATTACACAAAACCTATTCCCACTATCCATTTTACAAAAATGGACAACATTGCCTCTTTGTGTAAATTTTGAGTTCATGTGAATGTTACTTCTCAGTGTCTTCATCCTATAAACCAAGAGCAAACACACTGAAAACAAAAATCACTATGTGGAATGATTTTAATGTGTAACAGAAGATAAAGGAGATGGCAAATGAGTAGGGGTTTCAGAGATAAACCACAAAAGAATGAGTAAGAGGAAGACTATAAATTTTGCTCTAGAGTTAAATTACTGAGGTTGAAGAAAATTGGGAATTTGAAAGAAACAGCTTCTCCATTTTTAAATAAATATATTTTACTAAAAATTTTTAATTTCTTTTCTTTCCACCTCATCAAACTTCTACAACTACTCTTCGAATTACTAAATCTCAGTATTATAGACAGACTACAGAAACTGTCAAAGAACCTTCAGGTATTAGTTGCCTTCTAACTCCATTTGATATATCCTGAGTTCAAAATGGGTATAATTTTCTTGAAGCAAGTTCAATTTATCTATTTTGTTGTGGCTGTTATCTGTGATAGTAGGATGCAACCATGAAGAGAATTACTGTCCTCCTGTCATCCCAGGGATTCACTCAAGACCCTTCCATAAACCAATAAAGGTCATTTTTCTCTCTCTTTATATAAAAATTGACAACTACTAGTTACTGCTAACAACCATGTAAGAAGACTCAGAGTTTAGAGACACTAAATATTGTTTCTATCTTGTTTAAAGACTCATAAAAGAGATTCTCTAAATCCTTCCAGCTGTCCTTCCCTCCAACCCCTTGCTCCACCCTTCCTGCTAAAAGGCTGTTGCATCAGCTGTTTCTGAAAAGGACTCAGTCAAGTTTCTTCTGAATATTTGTGAACAAATAAAACATGGCTTTAAAAAGCTAATGCAAATTCACCTACAATTAATACAATCCTTTGTTTTGAGAGGTTATCCCTTGGAACTGTTTTGATGTAAATCCTTAAATAAATGAATGGAAGAATAATCCACAAGGTACCTCAAACGGGCAAAGAGGTTAATAACAGGACAGAGGAAATGGTATGAGAACAAGAGAATAAGACATCTGGGTTTCTGACATAACGCTGCTAAGAATCCATAGAACAAGGTAAAAAAAATAAAATCTTCTATGTCTGACATTCTTCACCCACAAATTCACAAAACAAAGAACTTTAATGTAAGCCCTACTTGTTGCATTGGGATGGGAGTGTCAGAGACAGTGCGATTGGCACAGGACAGAGCAGAGTTTAGGGCTGTTGTACATAGGGTCGCTATGAGTTGCAAGCGACTCGACGGCACATAACAACAACAACAACAACTTGTTGCATGCTCTGGTTTTGAATTATCACTAATTAGTTCACTGCTGTTACTTAGAATTTTCTCTACGTCTCTAACACTTCCCTTTTTGTATGAAAAAAAGTGTAACAGGGTTGAAAGAGAAGGGTTATACTCTAAGACCTTCCCCCTAAAGCTGTTTTAAATGAATAGATGAACACAAAATAAATCACTTGCACCAGAGGGCCCTATTTATTTTGACAGACCTGTTTTATTAAAGTTAAGATCTCTTTTCTTCCAACATTTTCCTCAACTTCTACTAATGATTTTAAAATTCATATTGGTTTATATACAAAAGGTGTATACACTGTGTTTCCTTCATGTGTGGTGTTTCACATATTTATTCATTTACATTGTATTTCATATAATCATTCTCATACATTGTGCTTTTTAAAATTAATCACCACCAATTCATGCCGGTATCATGCCATCTTTTCAGGTCCCCACTAGATTGATTCTAATTCTTTCATTATCTCCCTCTACCCACCAAAGTCTGCAACCTGTGATATTCCCCCCTACCAATCCTCATCCCCCTCTGGACTTTTATCCACATCTAACTAGTTACAATTATGATTTTACAAGAATGGTCTTAAACAGCATTTGTCTTACGAGACTGATTTAGTTTTCTCAGCATAATGTTGTCTAACCTCTCCCATGTTATATTTTATGAAATTATCGCTCTTGGGTGCTGCATAGTATTCCATTATGTACCACAATTTCTCAATCCCTTTGTTTGTTGATGCACATTTTGTCTGTTTACATTTTGTGGCTATTGTCAATAATACTAATATGAACATCGGTGTGCAAATATTTGTGATCAGTTCTATTTTCCTTGGGGTATGTGGAATAACTGGGTCATATGGAATTTCTATGTTCAGCTTTTTGAGGAAACGACAAACTGCCTTCCTGAGTGGTTATACTATTTTACAATATCACCATCAATGCTTGAGTGTTCCAATCTCTCCATATTCTCTCCAACATTTATTGCTTTCTTATCCTGTTAAACTTTGCCACTGCTACTGGGGTGATCTGGTGTCTCACTGTTGTGTTGCTTTTCTATGCATCTCTCTTATTCCAGGGAATTTTGAGTATTTCTTCACATATCCATTGGCCATCTGTTTGCTCTGTGATTAGTCTTTCATCCACTTTATGATTGGGTTATCCGTCTTTTTTTTCTGGAAGCCCTGTAGTATTCTGTAACTTGTTACAAGACCATTGTCTGAGATATCATTGCCAATGTTTTTGCCCCATCAGTAGGTTTTATTTTCATGCTTGATGTGCACAAGGACTTAATCATTAGAAGATCCTATTCGTTAATGTTATCTTCTCCTGGCTGCACATTTCTAGCTGTATTTGCTAGCCTATTTATACTAGAGGCTAGGGCTCTTATGTTTGGTCCCATTTTGTGTCTTATGATCTTTATGGGCTTTATCTTTATCCCTAGGCCTATGATGCACCTTGAGTTGATTTTTGTCTATGGTGTGAAATGTGGATCCTACTTCAGCTTTCTGCAGGTAGAAGTCCATTTTTCTAACATCATTTGTTGAGGAGGTTGTCGTTTCCCCATTTGATAGGTTTTCTTCCCTTGTTGAATGTCAGTTGACATTAGGTACATGGGTTAATTTCTGGGTTCTTGCTTAATTTTGTGACATGAAGATAATCTAGTTAAGGCAGATGTAGGGGTTAAAAGTCTTCCATATAAATGAACAGCAAAGTATTTTATAACATAGAACCTGACTCTTTACACTTTATAAAGATAAAATGTTCCAACTTAGAAACCACATCTACTCTTGCTACATATATAGACACAAGCTGGGTTTTGCATTGTATCTATAACCACAGAGACCTCTAACTCATCCCTTGAAATATTCTGCTTCCTGCTTTCTTGAATCATGAATCGCATTCTACCCTTCTGACTCCAGTCCTCAAACTCCACATCTCTCTCTTTGAGGAGCCATTTTAAAAAAAAATTTATTTTATTAATTTTAATGAACATTTACAGAGATTTTGGATTTCCATTCATTCATTGGTTCCAACAATTTCAGGGCATGATCAGGTCTTACCAGTTGTCTTTCCTAAAAAATTAACTACTCAGCTAATCGGCTTCTCCCATGTTTCTGACCATTCTAAAAGGCATGATTGCTCCCCTTTGTCTTTTAGAGAATTCTACTCTCTTTATCACTTAAAATTGCTTCCCTTTGGGCTGATAAGAAACTCTCTATGTAAGACAATATTATAACAGTTTAGAAAATAACTGCAGTATAAAACCAAATTTCTGTGCATTGTGTAATAGAGATAACAGGGATCAATTTTACTCATTAATCAACAAAAAAAGAACATGATGTCTTAAATATAGGAAGAAATAAAAGAACAAAAGAAACTTAATACTATTAAAATGTGCAAGAAGCTGTTGTGGGAGACTATAGAATTATAAGCACTAGAGTTATTTGGGCTTTTACTAGTGTTTATTCTGAATGAAGTCCCAACTTCATAATAATTCCAAAGGGGATGTGGTCAATGACCCCACTTGCTTATGATTCAAATTAATTGATATAAACAAGCTCTATTTGCAAACATTACTAGCCATTACTAACATTATTAGCCATGCAACAATGAATGAATGGAATTCCAAAATCTCTGTAGATGTTCACTGAAATTAAAAAAACAAAAACAAAAACAAAAAACCCTTCACAGTAAAAACGTTCATGCCTTTTGACATAACATTTTCATTTCAGGAAATTTACCGCAAAAAAAAATACTCTTATAAATAGAAAATCTTTTATATATTAAGTTACTTTTGGCTTTGTAACTTTACATCCAAAAGGAAGAAAGGGCCTAAGGCTTAGGCATGTCCACTGAAAGCCTTGCAGCCATGAAAAATGTGTATAATTTAAAGAAGGAAGAAAAAGAGGAGAGGATGGAAAGAAAAAATATTGCAGTGAGTTTAAATGAAAAGACTGCTGCAAACATATACAGAATTCTCATATTTATAGAAAAATACACAAAGCAAATGGCCGGGGGATGGGGGAATGAAGGAAAACCTTAACTGTATATATCAAAATAATTGCTTAGGTGATGGAAAGCATGGTTATTTCTTTTTTTATACAACTTTTATATTGTTGTTGTTGTTAAGTGCCGTCTAGTCATAGATGACTCATAGCAACACTATGAACGAAAGACATGAACACTTGTAGAACTTTTATCGTTTCTCCAAGTTCATAGAGTTTCCAGAGGCAAGCTATTTTGGAAGGGGATGCCAC